TATTAAATAGTTGTGTGATAGTCCATAAAACCATGCCCATCATTGACTTTAAGAAATAAAATCAGGACTGTGGGATGCTTCCTAATGATGGGGTAAGGTTGATCTTTGGAAAATAAATGGGTAGGACCAGATTCAAGTGAGTGTTTACTAAGTTACCTGTGAGTCCTCATAGGTCATGCCTTCTTGATGCTTGGTTATGCCTGGGGTTGAAGAACAGAGTCCTGTGTTCTTATAAAGGGTTCACAGATCTCAAGTTAGGCTTTGGCAGTTCTTTAGTAGGATGTGTTGGTAGATGTTGAAATAAAGTAGCTAAAAAAATTTTGAAAATAACCCTTTGGAATTCTCATTCCAGTTGCACATCTGTAAAATGAGTAACTTGTTCATGGTGACCAGTTCCATATTGACTTTTCTTCCTGATATTTAATGGCCTTTGGAATCAATAAAAATTAAGTCATAACTATAGATCTTGAATCATATGGAGTGGGGAAGATCCAAGTTTTAGAGAGGACATAGAAGTAATGCAAAGGAGGAGTAGGGTGTGTGAGAAACATAAGTGCAAGAAAATAGAAAGCCATCAAAAGTAGAATGAAGACTTTGTTAGGGTTATATGCTACATCTTAGAGATAATGATGGCTGAAATAGTTCAAATTCACTTCCCTGCATGTCCTTGGAGTTAAGCTGACTTTTAATGATTGAAAGAGAACCCAAGAGAAAAGTCTGAAATGTGTAAGTATTAAGCTCCGGTGAGAGGGCAAAAATGGGGAGATTATCAGCAGGAATGATTTGAATGACAAATTTGCAAAGCCAGTGGTTCCTCCATTGTTATTGCACTAAATGAACAATTACTGAGAAATCTGTTTACAAGTGTTGGAGACATTCTTAGCAGTGATCAATTGGTCAGTTTTCCCATTGAGTACTTTGATTTAGCTCAATGCACTGAGAGCACGATTTAAGGGGGATGATTCTTTTGGCTTCATTTTTTCACAATTGATTTTTTAAAAGCAAGATTGCCTCCTACTTTTTCCAATGAGTTTTAATATTTCACAATATGTTATTTATTTCAAATGTTCATTGCATGATCAGGTAATAGAATTATGCCATCCTGAAAGTAAAGAGGCTATGGTTATCTTTTCCACTGGGGAAATTAGACCAGAAAAAATATTATGCTTTGGTTCTCATGATCAGTTCGTTAGAATTATTTGTTTACTTTTTAATGGTCACTCACCTAAGATATAGAGTTTATTTTCTGTGATAAGGGAGTCTGCATCCTGAGGTCCTTTTTTTGGCATACATATTGAAAGCAATCACAGATTCAACTTTGAGCCCATGTAATCGCCTAAAGTACTGGACTATGGCACTGTCATAAACCTCCTTTCTTTCCTGCTAGAACTAATTCCTCCCCTTCCTCAATACCTTCTCCTTTGGGTATCTATCATAGCAGTCTTCATCTGTTTGTGGATCTTTGCTGGGGTAACTGAAGCAGTATTTCCACAGGAGAATGAGGGCTTTGTAAAGTTGCCCACATCCTGACTTAGGGTGAGAATTAGTCATAAATATTTCTTATTATGAATGAGTATAAGTACTTTTTAAAATTCATAATTTAGGGCCCTCCCTAGTGGCACAAGGGGTTAGGATGCAGCACTGCAAGCTGGCCGCAGCCGCTTCAGTGTGAGTTCTATCCCCTGCCCCAGAGGTGATCCACATGACCTGGCAGACCTCTCCTGGCCCACCCATTGCTCCCCTCAGCAGTGTATTTCGTCGATCTGCCTATTCTGCTTCATACTCTGTCTCTGGTGAATCCTCTCACTGCCCCTGCACCTCTGTCTTGTACCCCAGTTCTATATGCATAAATAAATCAATCTTTTAAAAAATTAATAGTTTGATTATTCATATTTTTTTTTTTTTTTTTTGTTCATTGTAGGTCCCAAAATAGGGTCAGGGGAAGTTTGGAAATGAATCCAATATTCATTTCAAGATCCAAAAGGAGGGAGACAGGGTGGAAATATGAGCCAAACTAAAATTAAAAGCCAAAAAGATGGCATTTAATACTCAACCACACATTTTCAATATGGGAGAGGGAAGGGTTAATAGTGGCATGTGCAGCTGCAGCTAAATTTTCCCTCTGTTATATTATGTGAGTGCCAGAAAGGCTAATGCAATTCTAGGTGCATTTTTTTTTTTATGTTTCAACAGAAGCATAGAAATAAAAAAAGGAAGCAACAATTTTATTCTATTTTAAAGTGACACCAGGAGTCTTTTGTTCAACTGTGGGTAACCAATTGATGAAGACATGCAGGAGGGTGCTGGAATGGTAAATTTTAGAAACCCTTGGACAAGAGCAATTACTTAGCATTGCTGGGGGCAGGGAGAGTTCTGCAAAGAGCTAGGTAAATTCTTAAAAAGCTGTTATGTGGAGCAGATGGGTTACATGAATTTTGGTGACTCTAACAGACAAAACCAGAAATAGTGTGTAGAAATTAAAAAATACAGGGTTGAGCTCAGTGTAAGGAAGAATGTTCTAGCAGAGTTGCTTCCCCAAAGGCATGGGGGATTGAATTTCTCAAGTCGGGTATGTTCAAGAAAGGCCTCATGGCCCTTATTGAATACTCCCTGTTGGGTTATCTTAGTGAACTACTAAGGTCCCTTCTAACCTATGGCTGTTATCATTTGTCATGTTGTAAAATAGTCAGGTAAGAGAGACAAGAAATGCAGCTCAAGGTCTATAAAATGAAATGGCTGTCAATATCCTCCACTTTCTTGAGAGTATAGGACAGAGCATTTTTTGCAGCTGTCCAAGGTGCTGGTGGGGGGTGGGGAGCTGTGTGGTCATTTGTGATCTTCTGGTTTTCTTATTTGTTTTAATATTTTATGGATTTTCAATTTTTATGTTCCATATATAAATCTTTTCCCTCCCCCACCCCAACTTAGACACACACATCAGACTCTTAAATAATGCAGAGAGAAATTCATATGAAATGTGTATCACTACAGCTAAACTACAACCTGGCACCACTTCTACACTATCCCAAGAGTAAGTGAATTCATTTTACTTTCAAAGGTTAGGCTTAGTGCCAGAAGTTGGACTTTTGTCTAGATTTATATTAAAATTGAAACCAACTGCTTTGTGATGCTGTACTGATTTACTTCTTGCTTTACTTTATGCTTTCTCTAACAGATATATCTTGAGTGGAGCTAGTAATCTTGGGCAGAAAATTATTTTGAGTGAGGTGGAATGAACACTACATATTTCAGCTAAACAGCCCGGTAGCCTGTATTGGTGAAAAGTGGTGTTTGCTCTCTCTCTCCTTGCCTTCCTTATACTACTTGATTCTCTGATCCCTTAATTTTTAAAATGGAAACAATAACCTACAGGGTTGTGAAAATGCAGTAAGTTAATACATGAAAAATAACTTACAACAGTATCAGGTGTATACATAACAAATATTAGTGCTAGCATATATTGTGTCTAGGTTCTTCAGACCACCCTCAAGTTAGCCAATTTGCTAGAAAACTCCATAGAATCCAAAATAGCTATTATACACATGGTTATGGTTTGTTACAGCAAAATAAAATAGATATAAAATAAAATGGGTAAAGTTTTTCAAAGAAGGTCATAGAGTCCCATAATTGCAAGTTTCTGGTTTTCAATAGAGGCATATAGAGTTTTATTCGCTTAGAAAGGATGTGTGATAACACATATAGTATCTCCAACCAGGAAAGCTCACCCATACACTTTGGTTTCCACACTTTTTATTGAGGATGCGGGGTGGTCTCAGGTGTCAGGAACATAGGCATGTAGGGCCTGTGAGTCTGATTTTAGTCTTTGGAATTTGCTTCCCTGCTGCCCTACAAGAAGAGATCAAATTGACAGTATGACCCAAATCTCAGGCATACAAAAGAAGGCATTCATTATCTATTAGATACTTATCATAAATTAGAAGACATGGTCCCAAATCTGAGGTACACAAAGACACTTTTCATCAGGCAGGATACTCCCCAGTGTTCAATGAGGTCAATTAAGGGACCATCTTGAAGATCTCCGGAAGGTAGAGAATTTAGGCAGCTCAGGTCTACTGATTTACTTACCACATGCATATGCAAATTTTACTTCTTTAACCAACTCAATTCAACCATTTTCTTAATGTTTTGAAAGTTTTATTTAGTACATGAACATTTATTGAGTATCTACTGCATACATAGCACTTGTGATACTTTCTCTTTAAGCTGAAAAATAATTTCAGTTTTAATCCATGTTATAAACTCAGAAAAAAAAAGTATCACTCCAATATGAAAGGGTACATTAGAAGTTAAAGAGCTATTCTGCACCTATTATTACAAATAACACTGGTGATAGAGGGTTCTGTACATTTTAACAACATTTACATGGCAGCTGATTAATGTACTGAATTATTAGTTTTAGTCCTTTAGAACTGTGTGATGTAGGTGATAGTTCTTTTTTTTAAGGGAGAGAATAAAGATCTAGAGATTTTAAAAACTCCTCAAGGCCTACTGTTGAGTAAGGGTTAGAATCTACATTTACCATCCTGTTCCAAAGCTTAAAGTCTTAATAATCATTTGTGATAGTTTCCTATAACTTTGAGAGATATAAAGGTTCAAAAAGAATTTTGAAACTTTAAAAACTTAACATTTATTTTGGCTTTATACAGCTCAAGATTTATAGTGTTTGGACGGTAGGGCGGAGTTGTGGGAAGAACTTACATGTTTCTTTTACTAGTAGAAGAGATTTCTTTAGGAAGATTGCAAGATACCTCTCCCCATAAAAAGGTGATAAAAGGAAGACACAGATACTTGGTAGTGGCAGCGGGGGGGATGTGTGTGTGGCAAATTGGTAGTGGGGGCGGGGGGGACTTATGTGGAAAATTCTACAGTTATTTTGAATCTTTTGACTAATACGAGGAACATAAAATCTAAATACTTTCCAAGTTTACACAATGGCTGCTGCCATGAACTGTTTGTGATTTATTTCCTTCTTTCTTTAGATCTCAGTCTGTGGTAGAATCTGGGACTCTGAAACATGAGGAGAAGGGAGAGAATGAGAATACTCAGCCACTCCTGGCTCTGGACTGAACCTCAAGTCCCCCCCATAGTTCTGCATATCGCCAGCCTTCAGTGGGATCAGCCACCAGGAAGCACATGAGCAAGTGACCCACACAGACATGCGTTCAGCTTGACGCAAGGCCCTTCACTCCTGCCGCCTAGTGATGACTGTCACCAGCCCATTGGTCTGAACAGCCAAAGTTGAATAAAGACTTGAGAGATGCTTTTTTTTTTTTT